TATAATTTTTTTTTTTTTGCAACATAGAATCGTATGATAAACAGACTTGATTGAATTATCATCTTGGGGGGAGGGAAACAACAAAGAGACGACAAGAGCTTAAAGATTAATTTGACTCCGGTGTGTTTTTTTAAATTACGCATTCCTTAGTTTGTATTTTTCTCATTTCTTCCAATAGCGATTAGCATAGCGAAATAATTGCTTCGCCTTGCTCGCCCCTCTCTTTCATACGCTTTCGTGATAGCAGTATGGTCTTAACATTTTGGAAGCGAGGATATCCAGCGCGCGACAAACCGCGCCTAAAGCCACCTGAGAAAATGGCGAAGTGCCGGTGTGGGAGGGACTGTATTTAGCAACTGGTTAAAAATAAGGATTTTTTTTTTAAATGGGAAAAGAAACGGAAAAAAGCGAAAATTCACGAGGGCGGTCTCAATGGAGAAAAATGAATGACTGTAAGGTTTCGCTTGGTAACCTGAGTCTTCAGTTTGGAGTTTAAAATTGTATACTGCGGTTTTTTTTTCTGGAGTTCCGTCGATATTGTGATAAAGTTCGCACTCTGGACTACAATTTTCGTTTCATATTTTTTCTGAATTTCAACAAGTATGTTTATATTTATCGGCTACTTTTTGATTTTCATATTGCATACATTTTTGATAACTTTTGAATACTTTATAGGTCTTAACATTATTGTAGCTTATAACTTTCAAAAGTCATAGCCTCAAACTTTTCTTTTGTGGCAAATATTTTAAAAACGTGTTTGTTGAAAACAGACTCCACGGAATATAGGCTATACATCGCTTCCCTAGAGCCAGACTGTTCTAACTACTTTTATTTGTTTGTTTATTTCGAGATTAATACACCGTTGTTTTCTAAAACCACCACGACACCATGGGAACAAATTTCGTGGCCAATTCTCTAACTATCATTGCACAACACTTAAAATTCACCAAGCACTTAATATAGAAAATTTAAACTCTAAAGTCTTGTTATGAACATTTTTAAGTGGAGTCAGAACAGTCCTGGTACTAGGGAAGCGATATATATATATATATATATATATATATATATATATATATATATATATATATATATATATATATATATATATATATATATATATATATATATATATATATATGTACTTATTTTCAAGTTAAGGTTATTGAATATGCATTAGATGCAAGCTTTCAGAAAAATAAACATTAAAAAACACTGCAAATGAAACGAATTTAAATTTAGGGCTTTTTAGCACGCGACCTTGAGACCAAAGCCCTTTTAATGAAAGCCTTAGCTCCACGCAAAGCCTGCCGGTGACTGCAGACCTGGTTCCGTCTGTTTTCTCTTCTTCGTTACTTACTGCTGTGTTGGAGGGGACCTTCTCCGACTTCGTTTCTGGATTTGCTTCCATAATCTTTTTGTTCAGGTGAGAACAACCTGCAAGTCAGCAGTTGTTTGATTTTTGGGTTGCTGTCCCTAGGTAATCAGCCTTCGATTCTGGAGTTTTTCTCCAAGATGTGTTGCTTTCCCTACGTAATAAGACTTTAATTTTTTGGGGTTGTCTCTCCTAGATGGGTTGATGTCCCTACCTGATGAGACTTTGGGGTTGTCTCTCCTAGATGGGTTGATGTCCCTACCTGATGAGACTTTGGGGTTGTCTCTCCTAGATGGGTTGATGTCCCTACCTGATGAGACTTTGGGGTTGTCTCTCCTAGATGGGTTGATGTCCCTACCTGATGAGACTTTGGGGTTTTCTCTCCTAGATGGTTTCAATTTCTATCCCTAGCTAATCAGCCTTCGATTCTGGAGTTTTTTTTTAAATCCAAGATGGGTTGCTATCCCCACCTAATGAAACTTTGGGGTTGTCTCTCTTAGATGGGTTGATGTCCCTACCTGATGAGACTTTGGGGTTTTCTCTCCTAGATGGTTTCAATTTCTATCCCTAGCTAATCAACCTTCGATTCTGGAGTTTTTTTTAAATCCAAGATGGGTTGCTATCCCCACCTAATGAAACTTTGGGGTTGTCTCTCCTAGATGGGTTGTTGTCCCTAGGTAATCAGCCTTCGATTCTTGAGGTTTTTCTCCAAGATGGGTTGCTATCCCTACCTAATGAGACTTTGGGGTTGTCTCTCCTAGATGGTTGCTGTCCCTACCTGATGAGACTTTGGTTTTTTTTCTCCTAGATGGGTTGCTGTCCCTACCTGATGAGACTTGTGGGGTTGTTTCTCCTAGATGGGTTGCTGTCCCTAGGTAATCAGCCTTCGATTCTGGATTTTTTTTCTCCAAGATGGGTTGCTATCCCTACCTAATGAGACTTTGGGGTTGTCTCTCCTAGATGGGTTGCTGTCCCTACCTAATGAGACTTTGGGGTTGTCTCTCCAAGATGGGTTGCTGTCCCTACCTGATGAGACTTTGGGGTTGTCTCTCCTAGATGGGTTGCTGTCCCTAGCTAATTTGTCTTGTATTTCTATCCATGGTTAAAAGCTTTATCTATCCGGGGCTCGATCTAGGGACTTTTGAGTTAGCAATTATATGTTCATCCGCCCGACCACGCCGTCCCGATCGTTCTCCCTTGTTCAAACTACAATACAATATTTTTATTTGACTTTGCTATTTCTACTTGCATACATCCTAAGTTCTTTTCGATCAGACCTATGTAGATTATAGTCATTGTCGACCTAGATATTCAAACTCTCACCGACTACATCTTTTATTAAGCTGAATTTTATATTTTGGGCTTAATAAAAGTTAGGCTTTAAGTTAGGGGTTAAATTATCATTATTAGCACAATCTCTCTCTCTCTCTGTATATATATATATATATATATATATATATATATATATATATATATATATATATATATATAACTTATTCGAGTCCTTTCTTTAATCCTCCCAAACTGACTCCAAATAATTATAGCCAGCGCTAACACCAGAAATACTTAATCTCAGGCTTCAGGGGCGGATTTAGCGTGAAGGCTGGGGGGGGGGGGTGTTTTCCTTGGTTATTATGGTCGTGGGACTTCTTGAACCTTCTTTTAGTTGTAGTTAGATTTTATTAGAACATAATTAGAACATCCCTGCCAGGTCACTAGACAACACTAGAATAATGATGTTCTAGAACAACAGTAACATATCGCAAGAACATCACAAGAGCATCAATAGATCATCAACAGTACATATGTAGAGCATTGCGAGAACGTCATGAGAACATCACTAGAACATCACTGCACACCATGAGAACATCACTAGAACATCATGGGCACATTATTAGGACACCATGCGAACATCACAAGAACATCACTAGAACATCAACAGTACATATTTAGAGCATTGCGAGAACGTCATGAGAACATCACTAGAACATCACAAGCACACCATGAGAACATCACTAGAACATCACTAGCACAACATGAGAACATCACTAGAACATCACTAGCACAACATGAGACATCACTAGAACATCACTAGCACAACATGAGAACATCACTAGAACATCACTAGCACACCATCAAAACATCACTAGAACATCACTAGCACACAATGGAAATATTACTATCAGATCACAAGAACACCACAAGCACACCACTAGAACACCTCAAGCACATCAACAGACAAGAACAGAACATCATTAGAACCTGCTGACGACATGACTACCCTTAAAAAATAGATCCTAGTCTACCACTTCTGCTGATGTATAGATGTACGTCTACTAATGTATCGATGTCTACTGATGTATAGATGTACATCTATACATCTACTGTTGTATAGATGTGTACTGATGTATAGATGTCTACTGTTGTATAGATGTGTACTGATGTATAGATGACTACTGTTGTATAGATGTGTACTGATGTATAGATGTCTACTGTTGTATAGATGTCTACTGTTGTATAGATGTCTATTGTTGTATAGATGTGTACTGATGTATAGATGTCTACTGTTGTATAGATGTCTACTGTTGTATAGATGTCTACTGTTGTATAGATGTGTACTGATGTATAGATGTCTACTGTTGTATAGATGTCTACTGATGTATAGATGTATACTGATGTATAGATATCTACTGATGTATAGATGTCTATTGTTGTATAGATGTCTACTGATGTACAGATGTCCCATCAAACAACCCACCTCCCCCCCCCCCTGGAGCAATTCCTCCTACTTTACTTATCAACTGTTTAATTTAGCTACCCAACGCAAGGCGATGTACCTTTATTACCTAGTAACGCAACCAAATATACACATTTCATTATATTTTACTTTCATTAAAGTTAATCTATTTAAAAAAAAAAATTAATTTGATTAAAATAATAATAAAATACATTTTAAACACCAAATTTTGATTTGATTAAAAAAAAACTAATACATTTAAAAAAATCATCTAGGCATTTTTAATCTAGTATTAACCCATATCTTAATATCTCAAAGGTGGTTTAAAATTCCCCTTTAATTTCAGAGTTAATAAGACTGAAATTTACACCCGTTACTTTAGCTGAAAGCTAATGAACCGGTTTTTTAATATGTGGGGAGACCAATGGTTTTCTCAATCGATGTGTATAAAACTCATAGACTGGACAATCGTCTTCTTCTTCGCTCAGCGATGAACGTCTTTCGTAGTATAGTGTAGGTGTGTGTGTATGTGTGTGTGTGCGGAGTGGGGGGGGGGGGGGGGGGGGGAGAATGGGAAGGCCAGGTCCGAATGTTTTGACGTCACGCGATTCGGAAGTTGAACATGTGAAAACTGTCTATGACGTTGTGAGGTAATAAGGATGGGGGAAGTTTGCGAAAATCGCGAGAAGACGTTTACGGAAACCCCTCCGGTGTCTTCGTTCACTTCTATAGCCTTTACACTTCACAGTCTGCTAGGTTTTCTTTCGCTCCTTCCCTCTCCCCAACTCTCTTCTCTTCTCTTCTCTTCTCTTCTCTTCTCTTCTCTTCTCTTCTCTTCTCTTCTCTTCTCTTCTCTTCTCTTCTCTTCTCTTCTCTTCTCTTCTTCCTTCT